GGAAACAGAAGCCTTTTCCTTTGGGCAGTCGGCCTTGTGCATTTAAGAAGCATCATTGACCTTCTGATTTTTTACCTTTTCAGACATTTAAATCTTCTCCAACAAAAACAGCTCAAAGAGATGTCTGAGCTCTCAGTGCACTCGTCACATTGTGTTTGATGAAGAGGATTATTCACGATCGGCGGAGGTCAAGAGGAGAGCCCAGCGAGCAACTGAAAGATCATTTCTACAATTAAACAACTATGTTATGAAGTTGGGACTTTGAGTGAAAGTACAAGCCCAGTATGCATTATACAGAATTCGCTTAAAAATTATGGCCAACTCAAACTGTTTTAAAAATCCCAAATAAGTAACAATTTGTCATGTTTCTAACACTTAACATTGCATATTTCTAACACTTTGAATAAAAAGTAAACCATAGATAAAAATGCAAATGCGCCGTGTATTGCTCAAAATGAAAGAATTAGATGATTTATTTAAATCCCGCTTCAGCCTCTCATTTTATATCTGCAGGTGCATCATTATGGTTCTACAACAAACCTCCCAGTAACGTCATGGGTGATAAAATATCCTTCAACCCAACCATATAAAGCAAATACTTACCCAGTCATAAAAAGTAATTACTTAATTCTTTGAATTGTGAACTTATATTTGATACCAAATAGAGTGGGAGTTCGTGGGAACAAGACCTCCAAGATGACATTGCTGAGTCGGATTGGTGGATTGTTTGAATGAAAAGCCATTCATCCTTGATGTGGGCAAAACAGTGTAATTCTAAAGTGGTCCAGCGGGATTAAGTAATCTGCCTATGTCCCTAGCTACATCAATATTTTAGGATAGTGTATGTGTACCATTTTCTTCCATAGTTGGCATATAAAGACTACCTTTGATGTGGAGTTGTTGCGTTTAGCTTTAGCAGTATGGATATAATGTGTTACTTCATCTTAAATTGAAATAAAAAATACTTGATTTAAAGACAAAATTGACCTGGAGTTATTTTTAAATACATCCATATGTAACTTCTGGCAACATGTAACTTCGCTCCTTCTGTCTCAGTCCCATAATATTAAAATAATGTAATTGTACCACGATGACATCACACTCAATAAGTTGTGCCAGTTCATACATTTTGGTATTTTCTTACATGTGAAACTAATTCTTTACAATCACATGACTGTTTTTATAGGATTTTTTTTTCCATTGGCTGTAGCATAGGATTTACAGGAAAGAAAGTTCTGCCCGTCGTTCATAAGACACTGTATAAAATAAGTAAGAAAGAACATTTTATCAGGTTTGGCCATTTCCCTTATAATTGGACAAACTCTAACACATATACATCACATCATGCTGACTCGTTCAATTGGTCTTAATCACTTTGTATGACATAATTGTCTGTATTGGTTGATATAGATTTCAGGCACTGGAGTCGCGGGTAGGGAGGGTAATTTTCTTGTGAAATTGAACAGATACCAATTCAGTTCTCACTACAGTAAATATCCTCAAGATTAAAGAACATGTTAAGTAACAAAAAACACTATAATACTGTGCCTTTCTGGGTTGATATCTGCCATTAATTGGTCTCATTACATCAATTAAAAGAATAGTTAATCTTTAATATTGGATATGATCAAGATCAATATCTAATCCACCATGTTTTCAAACATTTCCCAAATGAAATGTATTCTTCTTTACATTTTCAGCCCCAAAAAAGAAATATATATGTTTGGACTGCCTCTTCTGAACCCCCTCCTCTGCTTTTTCTACTGTCCACTTGATCCCTCTGACCCGAAATACAGCAGAGTGGACCCCCCTCCCTCCTCCCTATGCCTGCGTTTCCATTTGTCTTTTATTATAACTTTTCTCTGAATGCTGTAGCCTATGCGGAAAATAAAACACTGAAATGCTCACAAAATAATGTCAGCAGTTCCAAAGATTAGGTTCATTCTACAATTTTAATGAATGACTCCCCTCTGTATAAATATGTCTACTATAATCCCTCTGGTTCCAATAATAGTTTATAGGTCATTATTGTCTGTTACAGCTGTTCAACCTGGATGCAACTCAACTTCTATATTCAGGCAGTTAACACAGTCCAACTGTGCATGTCTGAAATAATACTATGTCTTTACCACGAGAATCAATACATCTATGTAATAGATGCTAGAACAAAATAAAAGTTTACAATTGTAAATGTAAATGTCAACTTAAAGCTCATGTCCCTAACCTTCTTCTTTATTTTTGATATATATATATATATATATATACATAAATTTAGCTGGTCCCCAATTGAGTACGTTTTTGTGAACAAATCCGACAACAGCTCTCTTTTTCACAGAAACATTGTCTCTAAAGATAGACGTCTGAGAGACGCCAAAACTAGAGGTGACAGATCATCTCATAATGAGGCTGTGCCAACCAAGCTATAACTACCAGCATTAACATGTGGCCCGAAATGCTTGCAATGTGTAGCAAAAAAATCTTCATTTTCACCAATGAGCTATGTGGACTAGAAAGCTATGCATGATCTGAGACCACCAAGAAATTAACAGTCTAGGATCACTTTTACAAGTGTTGGGCTCATAATTCTAGCGTGACTCTCGCCAGACTCTTGTAGTTTGCTGAGCTTCAGAGAAGGGTCTGGGTCTGCTTCATATCGAATGAATATCAGAAGGCGGGGCCTTGTAAACAAATCCTTGTATGTGATTGGATAAACCACTTGTCTGTTATCTTGAATGACGTGTTCCTTCAACCATTCACACAATTCAGCACATGACACCTCACTGCGTTGCAGGGTTTCCAAATTCCAGCAAGATTTTCCAGCCCAAAACCTGCATGAATGCCCCCAAAAAAAACACCCAGAATAATGTTTTGGCTAAAAACGTAATGCAATCAACGTGGGCTATCATGATTCTGTTTTTTGTCTTTCTGTCTATTTATTACCTACAAGTCGCTTGGAAAAAAGTATGCACCCTAACTTTCACACTATTCCTTACCCTTAACCTAACTCTAGTCCTAATCACAGTGACAACCCTTACCCTGACCTTAACTCTAACCATTGTGAACCCTAGTCCTAACCCTTACCATCGTGATCCCTAGTCCTAACTGTGACCATTCTGAACCCTGGTCCTAACTCTAACCATAGGTAACCCTTGTCCTAACCATAACCATTGTAACCTCATGCCATGGTAAACCGTTGTCCTAACCTTAGCCATAACCATGTGAACCCTAGTCCTAATCTGAATCTTAGACCTAACCTCTCACCCCCAACGAAACATTGATTCTGGACTATTTACTGTACTTGGTGATATCAGATCAGAATGCTATAGTGTAGTACACGCCAAGTTGTCATGTTTTTGAAGTCCTGTTTCTGTGACTGAAAAAGCTGCAAACTATTCACTGATAACCTCCACATTATAAGTCTGGCTTTTCATTCTATCTTATTGTACATCCCATTCTGCTGAATTTGCAAACATGTGCAAGAATACGGCTCCATAGCAGACATTAACAGGGCCAAATGTGTCTACCGCGACGGCGTCTTACATCACATGTCACCGGAGTGGAGTGACAGGTGAGCCCTCAGGAACTGCAAATGTGGCTCTCTGTCACATGGTTAGTGACTCTGGGGACATACTTTCTCCGAGTAATCCCACTTTTGTCTGCTTCAAATTATGTTAAAACTGCAGAGATTGCTGTATCCACCAGCTATAATTTACATAGCTCAGACATGTACAGTAGTTATCAAGGAATCAGCTTACAGCATTGGTGGCAAAGTTGCGGTACACTGGATTTGGGCCAAGAATGCAGGTTTAAATGTCAGAACTGCATGGGGGCTTTCTGTGTGATGTTTTGCAGACAAACACCTGCACCTCCCTGTCTGATACCAAAGCCAAAAAGAAGATTCCTGAAACTCAATGCAATAAATTATGGACTGGTGATGCAACGGCTTTACATTGTCTTGAACACAGAGAACTTTTGCACTAGACTTTAATACAATTTTTTACTACGGATTTATGCATACAAGTATACATTTAGGCACTAGATTATGCAGAATTGTGTACTTTTTTATTAGGCTTAATGTAGAGTTTATATCTTATTTTATTCTATTTTTTTGTGCTATACTTAATATCTTGTGCTGTGTGCTCCTAATTCCAACTGTTCTGTAACTTGTGATGAAACGCATAGAATCTCTTAATCTTAATCTTAAACTTTGCATGATATAGATACACCTAATGTTCAAAATGTACTCTATTTCATCTTATAATGTGCAACTAATATAAGACAGACTCATTATACACTGGGATGTGTCAAGTTGCATATTATGAATCCGTATCACATAATTGTCTCACATTTAGGTGAACTGATTGGATTTTTTTATGATATTCTGCATTTCCAAGTTTCACCAGCCTGAGAGACTATAGTAGTGCATTAGTGCTTTTAGTATTTGCTTGTTTCCAAATGTTCTTCCCCTAAACCCTTGTCATTTGATATACAATGTTTTCTCTATATTGTTTTTCATGTTTTGTTGTCTATTGTGAACACTGGGCCTTTCTGCACAACTACTCTAATGTTTTTTCAAATGCAAATGAAAACTAAACTGGATTGAAATATCCGAGTGTTAAAAAAACCCAATGAAAATACATACAGGTCCAAATAACGCAATAGAAAAATCTAGTAAGAGGTACATTATACACATGAAGAAAAATATAATAATTTTGTTGTCCAAATCCTTTTTAAAACACTTTTTATTGGAATTTTTTTATACCTGAACCAAGAATTTTTCTCAATTTAACTTTTTTAAAATCGGATTGCAACAACAGCTTTCCTGGGGCTCACTGATACAAACCTTGCAGTCAATCTGCCTCTCCAGCCATCATAAGATCACTGTAACATACATTTTTTACTTTTTAGTTTTTACTTCCTTACAATCTGTCAAAGCAGTGACATAATTATCATGACACTGACTGACACTGATATATTGGAACCAGTCAAACCAGCTTTCATTATGAAGGTTTGAGGTAGTTATACAGTGCACTTAGTCCTCCTTGGAGCACCTCCTGTATTGGTTTTAGGAGGGGATTATGAACAATATGAAGTCCTTTATCCAGCGGGTGACAAGCCAACTTCCCCAGCCGATTCAGCAAATACATCTGCACAGGGACACTTTGCAAATCATTAAAATCCACGTTTAACAGCTCCAATGACTCAAGCAGGCAGATTGTCTTGGGAAGAGAATGCAGACTATTTCCTTCAACTATTAGGATCTTTAGATTTACCAAGTCTTGTATCTGGTCTGCAATGGTTTCCAGTCTATTGCAAGCAAGATGCAAGAACACCAATCTTTTCATGTTATAGACACAAGTCGGGATGATAGCGATCCGATTATGGCTGAGGTTAAGTTTGGTCAGATTCTGCATGGACGCCAAGCTGTTGGGCAGAGACGAGATCTGGTTGTTGGCCAAGCTGAGCACTTCTAAGCACGTGCATGACCCCAGCTCCTCCGGAACCTCGCTCAGTCTGTTCCGACAGGCAAAAAGAACACGCAGTTTCTTCAGGAGTCCAATCTCTGGTGGTAAACTCGAAAGATTGTTGCCCCAGAGGTTAAGGATGACCAGATTGTCCAGTGCGCCAAGGGTAGGGGGCAAGGAACACAGGCAGTTCATGGACAAGTTCAGTTTTTGCAGTTCGCGTAGTTCCCAAAGCTCCACGGGGGGCTCGTCTAGACTACGCATGGCGAGGCTAAGCGTGCTGAAGCCAAAGTGAACAGTTGCATGACGCCGGATTCGCTCGGCTGCCGATGATAAGCCCTGGTCGTCAGGTCGCAAAGTGCTCCTTCGCCTCTGGTTAGCTTGGACTTCCTCTAACTCCTTACCGGACAGGCGAGACTGCTTTCCTCCCATTGTCTGTGCTACTGTGCAAGTTGACGCATAATTTTCAAGTCGCACAAAGTCTTGTCATCCAAAAGTGGTCCAGAAATGTGTTTCAATTTTTGGCAGAGAATTTTCCAGCCGCCTTCCCAGCTGTGTTGTCTAGAGTCTCTGTAACCAAGACTATATGGAAGCACACGGTCTCGTCTCTTACGTCTTACTGTATTTCATTGCCCAGCTGGTCCTGTCACTTTACAAGTCCACAGATAGCCCACCCCCCCTTTTGCACCCCTCTGCCGCTTGCTATGGGCACACCATGACTTAACAGTGCTCACCATTTGGGCTCAAGCTGTTGAGGTCACTGCATGATCTCATACAAGCACGTGATTGCAAAATATTTTGTTTATTATCAAATAATAATAACGACAGGGGCGACAGTAGCTCAGTTGGTAGAGCATTGGCCTTAAGGCTAGAAGGTCGTGGGTTCAATTCCCACCTCTGCACCTTCTCCACCGACTCCCACTGATGACTGCTGTCGTTGTGTCCTTGGGCAAGACACTTAACCCCACTTTGCCCAAAGCCCCCACTGAAAGATCAAGGCTATGCTCACACTCAGAGAGCAGCCGTCCTCCTGTGGACTCACCACCTGCAGAGGGTCAGTGAGGGGCTGGTGCTATGAGACTTGGGTGGCATCTCTGATTGCCACCCCCCTGACCCAGAAATGGATTAAAGGGAAGAAAATGGATGGATGGATGGATTATCAAATATCCCTAACTTTTTACTGATTCATTTATACATTTTGGTTGTCCCATCAGAAAGAGTCTTGTAAAAAGGGGATATCTGTAATATTTTTATTTCAAAATACATCTACATGTTTTATGTGTCCCCAGACAAAAAGTACAAATCATATTTCACCTTTTCTGAACAAAAGTTTTCAAGCAGGTTATCCTATCAGAGAGCAGAATGAGTTTCGCATTTGGGTTGCCAGTTTGTTATTTCATTTGGCTGTTCTTGGTTCTTGGACCTTTTTAGATAAAAAAAAAAAAATTGTACTACAAATAATCTAGACTATTTCTATGTAAACCCCAGCAGGTGGTTTGAATCAGTGATTTTTTTTTTTTTAATGACATCACAAGCAGTAAGTTCTGGCAACAACATTTATATTGTGATTGTAATGATTTTATTCAACAACTAAGAGTGTATTTTACATTCTGTTCCTTTAAGTTTCATTTTGTGAACAAATCAGACAACAACATGCTGTCTTCATCTTTGGCTGATTGGCTGAGTGGGGGCTGAAAAGCCAAAAATACTAAAAACTGTTTTAGAGCTAGAAACTAGTTAAATTAATCTTATTAAATGGTAATTTGTTGTTTTTTCAAAGTCAGATACTCATGCTATTAACTTGTAACATTATGTAAGCTCACTCCATGCATGTTACAAAACTTAAAAGTGGCACCAAGCTGTGAAAACATTTGATCACCGCTCAGAAAAGCAACAGAACTTAGCGAGATTAGCAGCAGCATATTCACGGACACGCGCTGGCATCATCTGAAGAGCAAAGGGACACGGCTATAACCATTCAGCAAATCATGAATATCACGCTCTTTGTTAAGTAACAGACAGGTGGGTGGAAAATAAGAATTAAGAGCTGCAGTTAATGAAGGCTCCAGTCACACATACAGTGTGGATTTAACATACTCAAAAGACTCCTGCTTCACTTCAACAAGCAAGTGGTTATTCAACAAATTGTGTTCTTGGACTTAAAAAAGGAACGGTAAAACTAAAAAAAACATGAATTGTATGTCACATTTGTATGTCAAATATACAAAGTAAACTCTGAAATGTAGAAAATCTTTCAAAAGTCCATTTACTTCTGTATATTAAGTAGCATGTATTTATGTCACACAAAGCACAATTTTTTGGTTCTACTAATAATATCCATTCAGTCCACATCTCACCATCCACCACCATCCATTATACGTTCAGGCCTATTATACATGTTTTTAGTGGTAGGAGAAACCAGTGCACCTGGGGGGAAACCTATGCACACACAAGAAGAACATACAAACTCCACAGAGAGGAGGAGGTAGAATTGCACTCAGGGCATGCTTGCCAAGTGCTAATCATTGCTGAGTGGCTCACAACAGACAGTTCCAGTTACAACTGGAAATTTTTAAAAATCTGAGTAAGGTGAACCATTTTGAGTTGTCGTTTTTACAGTTCATTGAACTAGAGTGAGGTCAACTTATCTGCGTTTGCTCATTTAAATATTTGTCATGGCAACCAGCTGCATTCAACATATTGAAAAAACTAATTTGACCAAAAAAATCATTGTGTTTGTTTTTACCAACCGTAATCGACAGGGCCAAGCCAAAGTAGCCCTATATATTCCCTGGGTCAGTCTTAGAGACATTAGTTTTCGCCACTAATCGGGCTCACAGTGTGTGCGGCACCGTGGCTGAGTGGATAGCACTCTTGCTTCTCGACACGAAGGTCCTGGGTTTGAATCCCGGTCGGAACAGGGTCTTTCTGAGTGGAATTTGCATGTTCTCTGTGTCTGCATAGGTTTCCTCCGGGTGCTCCGGTTTCCCCTACCCAAGTGACCTTGGTCTGTAAAATGGGTTATATAAATAGACATCATGATGGTTTAATGTGGGGACTATTTTAAACTAAAAAAAATTAGTAAGTTTTTACAGACTTGAAATTTCCAGTAACTTGAATTTAAAAACTTAGTTGGCAGAACTTGGAAAACTTAGCTGACACAACTTAATAAGTGTAGTTCTTCAAAACGTGAAGAATTAAGTTAATGCCTTCAATTCAAAAATCCTTCGCAGATGGTTGCTTTGAAATTTTTAGTTGAACTTACTCTTTCTTTTTTACAGTGTAGTTGATAAGTTGCTTGATCCACTTGTTGTAATTTCACCTCAAAATACACCAGTTTAAATGTATATCTTAGAAGAATTAATTTGATCTGTAATTCATTATACAATAATATATTGTAATTAAATAACTTGGTCCTGCATATGACTGTGATTTACAACATGTCATACAAGGCACAATGTGTCTATCCAACTGTCTGTGAAACTGTATGTTATTGCTCTCTGCTGTTTATTCTACTGTTTGTCGCATGGCGCCGTAAAGATGGCGCCGTGGCAAGAGCTCTGGTGTGTGTCGTCTCCTCTATCTGGTGCACACCGGGGTAGTCTTGCACAGTTTTTCCAATGTGGTTTTACTGCAAATGGCAAATAAATGAATCTGAATCTGATGTGATACATTTCCATGAGAAAATGTTCAGTCAATTTTTTTTCTTTTGCTTTAACCCCTGACTTACCATGTGAACCTAATTTAAAACTCATAACGCACAGGGTGAGATAAATTAAACCTTTATTTATTTATTTTAACTTTTGAACGATATTCTGATTTTATATAGAAATGTGAGAAATTTCAAAAGCTTAAAATACTTTTTTAACCACTGTAAGCGACTCCCAATGCAGGATCCTCTAAATGTCGTAGCAATTTGTCTCGTGTCTTTAAATACATTTACCAGGACATTAAATTTAACACTGCACACCTATTTAAGGCCATTCGTGTGGATTTATGCAAAACAATAGCCTTTATAACCTGAAAACTCCACTTCATTAACTTTTATATGTATTTTAATGGACGCTAAGTGTTACTAGTGCTAATAGATTGCGACAGCAGGCTTGACATTCCTCTTATACCTGGATGCATTTGGCCAAAAACTGGAGTCATATCGTAAACAGGCTTGTCACGCCATTGACCCTTTTTATGAGGTCTAGAAGGGCTCAGGAGCATTTTGCTGAAAGGTGCAATTCTAAATGGCTGAGGAAGTTTTTGTTTTACAGGCCTCAAGCCAAAAGGAGGATATCTGTGTCCCCACAAAGACAAACCAGCTCTATGGGAATATTGCTGTGCTTGCAATTCTCACCTCCACACTTGTTTGACAGATATATTGTGTCAGAACAGTATAGTGTTGTGTAAAAGATACCTACCAACCAATCTCCTGACCAGTGTTAAATTTTGACAAGAAATTCTAATTTCATTTTGGTCTTAGTCTTTTGACTAAAATTCATTTTAAGTTTATAGTCCAATTTTAGTCGACAAAAATATGAAGCAATTTTAGGCTAAAATATACTTATTTTAGCCTAAAATTGCTTCATATTTTTGTTGACTACATTTTTTTATTTTTGCTATATTCTATAATTGGTTGTAGCATACAATGACAAACGTGACACAAGTAGCTTCATTATTTTATTTTACTTTATCGTTCGTGTCATATGATGTCGGTAGAGCAAATGAATCACTTGAAGTTTCCAACCATGTTAAGGCTGCGATGCCTCTTCACGGAGCTTCATATTACCATCTCTTGTTTTCTTCTTTGTCAACGTAAAAAGGGGCCACAGATCTCCAGCCCTGGATAGGTTCTTGTTCTTTTTGTTACCGATGGATACCTGTGTGTGGGTGTGTGTGTGTGTGAATGATTGGTGGTGGTCGGAGGGGCCGATGGCACATAGTGGTTGCCTCGCTTCTGTCAGTGTGCCCCAGGGCAGCTGTGGCTACAGTAGCAGTTTTTCACCACCGTGTACGGAGTGAAAGAATAATGACAGGTAAAGCGTCTTTGAGTGTCCAAAAAAGCGCTATATAAAACCGATGCATTATTATTGTTATTAATAATAAATGTGGGTTGGGGTGGGTCTGTTGGGTGGTCGGTTGGATTGTTTTAAACCAAACTGTAAAGAACTTTGTGTTGCATAAAATTTGATTGATTGAATGATTGATTGTATCAATAGTAGTAAGATTTTTATGTCAAACATAGGCAAAATCAACATTGAAAAAAAGAATAAAAACAATAAGAGAAACAGAAAATTAACAGAAATAAACCGCTTGAAAAAGAGGTTGGGCGATACAAATGCTTTTTGGGCCGCTCTCACACATTCAACTTCTACTCTGATAATGTTCAATTCAAGGTTAAAAACTGTTAAGCTGTGCATACAACTGAAGGATTGTATCTT